TTTTTGTATGATGGTATACAGTTTTCAGTAATGATGTATACATTGTATTGATTTTTTTCCCTAAATGTGTTATTTTAATAAATATCTCATAAATGAGTTTGAAGTTTGCTTGGATTTTGGAATAAATGGGACTTTTTCTTTATCACTAATTCACCAGATTTGTTAAGAGAGAAAGCAATTAATATAGTTTCAGTATTTAGTATGTTCAAGTGTCCGTTAACAGCTGAGACGTCTTTTCCGATTGTCTGCATACGGTGTATTCGTCTTTTGAATCCCCATAATATGTTATAAATTGTAATGCCCCATCTTGTACTACAGTTGTCTTATTTGTTATAAACGCTGAGGGTTAGGACTGGGTCTTATCATCATGTGCCTGCGTTATGCTTCAAAGAATTTGCCGTCTAATGGAAGAGAGAACATTTGCAAGTTGGCTCCATACCAGGTTCCTTCCACATACTCTACTCATCTGAACTTTGAATGCAGAATCTTTAAATTGCATCCCCACATACTAAGGTCAAGAAAGAACTTAATGGGAAATAATTTCCACCTGTTAGCTTTACTCTGACGTCAGGATTACCAAATCCAATGGACTCTTGCCTATTATATAACTTCTCCTGGAAAATGAAAATGTTGACCATCCTGCCGCTTGGAACTCTTCCCACTCCTCACATTGTTTCTTCCTTCCACTGGAAGTTCCTTCTGATTCTTGTGGAGTACTTTTTGCTATATGGGACTTTTAAATAATGATGTTTCTTAAGACTCCCTCCTGGGCCCTCTGCCTAACTGGATATTTATTCTTTTCTTGGGCAATTCCCTGGAAACTTGGGTCAGCCCATGGCTTCAGATACCAACGGGTTGATAAATGGTAAACTGCATCTCCAAACCATACTTCATCTGAGCCTCCAGACTCATACCCAACTATTATGGATCAACTTCCTTGGATATCCTACAAACACTTCAAAGTGACCCTACCTAAAATAATGATCTGCCCAAGTAACTGCCCCTGCTATATTCCTTATCTCTGAATGATACCTCTGAGATATATAGATTACCTGTAGATTAACAGCTCACTAGAGGAGCTTGTTAAAATGCTAATTTCAGAGATCAGGGGCATGACAAGATTTTGTATTTCTTGAGCTCCCAATTGGGGCTCATGCTGCTGATAGAGAAACAGTATAGCAAGGTTGTAAATTATCCACTACCTACCCTCTAAACTGTCTTAGTGCAAGCCCAGGGTTATTATAGTGGACTACTAATATTTCCTTGCTCTGGTTGATCTATACCTCCTCTGATACCTCTTCCACACTGTTGTCTTAAGTGGCTTTACTAAAATTCATGTCTGAGCATTTTATTCCCCTACTTGAAATTTTTCAATGCAGGGTGAAACTCAAACTCAGCATTAATACCTAGGCTCTTCTGGATCTGACTTTACCTGCTTCTCTAGTTAGTATGAAGAGTCCCCAGAAGTATGAAGTTGTCTCATCCCTAAATACCTTGGAAAATCCATCAGCCTGGAAAGCCCTTCCATCCTACTTATCTCATTCCTACTTGCCCTTCAAAATTGAGCGTGAGTTGCTAAAACATTCTGAGGTTTTTCTAACTTGGATTCTACCACTATTTTTCTATAAGAACCAATTGTGCATAATTTCTCTTCAACACAGTGGTTCTTGAACTTTTGTGTGCATACTTTGGAGGGGAGGAGACGTGACTTTGTTGACTTTGTATGATGCTTATTTTGGATGAATGGGCTTATTTGTGAATGATTGAAGGAATGAACTAGTGAATGAACATTCTGGGAGCGTGAGAAAAGGTAACAATAAATTGGGTATAATTGAGAAAAAGATTCACATTAATTTTTGGTTCACTGTTCCAAAGATAACAAGTTCATCTTTCTGATAAATTTAAACTTTAAATGTAGTCTTTGAACCAACTGGGCTTAATCATGTGAAGTTTTGAGCCTAAGACAAGCACACACACAATCACAAAATCTACCCAAAAGAGCTTTTTGTTTCACTTCATCTCATAAAACAATGTTCTAAAGTAATGCTAGGGATGCTCATCATGCTGCTACCCATTAGCAAAAAGGAAACAATCTTAAATGGTACTTAGGAAACGTTAGAAATAACAAATAGTTCCTAATTCATAGTACTGTATATGGAAACCAAATTTGCCCAGAGATTATTTTGATACATCAAAAGAAAATATGAAAAAAATAAAAACAAATTATGAAAATATTTCGAAATGGAATTTTACAAACAGTTGAATTGGAAATACATCACAGCAATTTAAAGTACTAAAGAGCATAGATTTAAAATGATAATTTTGAGAACCCCCCCACACCTCTACCTCTACCACCTT